AGACAAACATCAAAGGAAGGCTTCTCATAGGAAGACCTCCTTTGCCAGATAACAGTGCCACTGCTAGTGTAACAGATCTGTGGGATCCAACACTAGGTCTTAGCAGGATTGCCAAGAGCCAACTCCCCCCCCCATGTGACCCTGATCCAAATTATGTGTCTAATTTTGTAATTTTATAGTTTTACACATATGTACACACCCATACAGTATACACTTCTTACAACTGATGAAGTGAGTTCTACTTCACAAAAACTTCATGTAACAATAAATCTTTGGTAAGTAAATCAGTGCGAAATCTATTACAGTTTACCCTTGTACTGTACCTTTATCTGGCAGAAAAGCAGGAGCAAATTGATTATATAGTGGTGCTGGATGAGAAGTACTGGGATCATTGAAATTGATTTTGTTGACATACTTTCTAAAAAGAGTATATTATTTATCATATAACATGCAGCTTAATGTTGACAGTAGCAGAGGGAAATAATACACTGCTAGAAATAGCAACCTTGCTAGGAGGCTGGAAGCTGGCAATAACTGTAGCAAGCATGAGTTGTGCTGGTTGGTATTGCCATGTCTAATGCTGGCTTGGTTGATGGTTTAGCAGATTCTGATGGGTAAGGGTTTTACTCAGCCCAGTACTAAACTTTGCAGAAAGACTCAGCCAGCAGAGCTACTGCTGTGCTCTGTCCTTGTGCCCCTAGTGGCTGTAGTACCGAACTGCATTAGAAGTAAAATAATATAAATGTATACATACACCTTGAGCCAATTGGCAGCATGACACCACCTTTAGAGGACCTCCAGCTGGCTTGGGCCCCAGAAATTTTTTCAGCCAGTCCCCCACCACCTCAGCAGCCCTGGGTCTTAAAAAAAATATTAAGGGCTGGGTGAAAAGAGTATAAGTTATACAAAACAGAACTAGTTATAAGGATAAGCATATACACTGATATGTGTTTATGTTACTTTCCCTTGTTCTATATGTTCTGTGATAACTAAGGCCTGGCATAAATATTACACTTGACCTGTTCCTGTTTGACTACAAGAGCTGTGATATGAATATTTGCCACATGCAGTGATTGTTGCAAACAATAATATGCATTGTGTGGTACTTTTGCTTGTGGTGTGTTTCTCCTCTCCCCTCTCTCGTAGCTCTGGGGATTCCATATCTCCCAAGTCCTTGGTAACATTCTGAAGGAAATTGTAAAACTATATATGAAGCCGCTACGTTGATGGAGAACTATAGTCACACAGACAGTGAGATAGTCTCCATTTCTTCAGACAATCTGGAATCAGAACTCAATGGCTGGCAGATACTAAGCCTAAGCATAACACAAATATTCTAAATACCATGTCAAATCATTACAACGTTCTTGTAGTGGATTCATAGGATGGCAAGCTAACAACTCTACATGCCAAAATGCACATGGTGATCTTTACAAACATGTCACATAAAAATAGAAAATGCCATGTTGAGACTATAGCATTTAGACCAAATGTGTGTGCCAAATGTGGTCAGGAGGTAAGACACAGATAGCTTGGATTTTTAATATAAATATTTAAAATATTTATAAAAATGAGCAAACACGTGATCAAATTACGTTAATGAAGGCAACAAAAACAAACAAATGAGTGAATGCCATTTGTTCATTGGTTGTGGCTACCTTGAGGCCTCTGCTGCCCCCTGCTGGCTGGTGCTACTAACCATTCAGCAGCCAAGTGCCACTGCAATAGTAACACTGGTGTCTCTCCCTCCTTTTCCAGCCTCTTCTTATTGTAGTTAAGGCACTGGCAGATTTCTCTTCAGCTCTTTCCTTCATTAGCCTGTTTTTGATGTCTGTACTCAGCCAAGGGACACTGGAAGGAAACAGAGTGCCTTGTGCTCGACAGTCACAGCTGATCTGCCCACTGCAGGAAATTTGAGGGAAGGGCTAATCATTACAACGCAAAGGAGAATAGAACTCCTGTACCTTAAACAGTTCTGTGAAAAGAGAAATTTCAGCCATTTCATCTTCTTTATATGCCAAGCAATACCTGCCACAATTCCTTCTTCTGTGCAACTATCAAAGCCCTGTCTACCTGTGCCTCTGTCCCCATGACTTCTAGATGGCGTGTCCCTTTTTAGAAAGAAAGTACAAACACTAGAGATTGCTGCTACTGAAAATTATTGGACAGAAGGTTTGGGATTGTAACATGCAGGTCCGTGCAAATCTAAACAATGCATCTTTTTGCTTTCAGAATTGCATCAAAGCATTGAATGCTTTGCCTTCTATAACAGATTACTAGTAGTTCCTTTAGGCAT